AAAAAAGATAACTCCATGTACACTATGCAATGTCTCCATATAATTATTTTTGTGGAATAAAAATTAATTTGGTCAGTATGATAAACATTTAGTTATGTTTATGAACTGTTTATGACGAAATATATATATTACAGTAAATATCTTATAGTGTTCTTAACTATTCAAGCTTATATATACTATCGACCAGGAGAAATTTACAAGTGATTCTAAGGTTGTTTAAAGTGGCCTAATAACATTATTAAGTAGGCATAAATGTTATGCCCTCAAGTTAAAGGGATAATGTATTAATATTTAATCTGAATAAGAAAGAAAACTATAAAAGGAAACTCTTACTGTAATAAAATGAAATCATATGATTTATTGTGTTTTTTAGGATTCATAATTAATAACAAAATTGGGATGAAAATACCAGACTAATCATCAAGATCCTAGCATGACACACCATAGCAGAGATGCAGTACACATCACAGACATATATTGCACTGAGGAATCTCAGTAGCGTTTTTTTAGCGAGTTAGTTTTCTATGGGTTGGGGTCACTAACTCCATGCACAACCCTCCTTACTTATACGGGCTTGGGATTGGCTGTAACTCAAAAGGGGCTCTAGGCGGAGTCTTCAATAACTGGGTTGAAAAGAACATCTGTCTATTTATTGCATGAAATAACTTGCCAGGAATCATTCTGTATCCTGACTGCATTAGTGGCCTTCAAATAGTGGAAAGAGCATGTAGCCACAATATAAACAATCATCATATTGTTGGAATAATCAGAACTAACTTATTTTGTCCCAATGTTTCTTATAAGGTTAATTTATGTAGCTCCTGTTTATCGGTTTGAAAACCATTCTCATGATATCAGTTGATAACACTCAAACAAGTTATCGTGAAATTGGAGTACTTAGAAAATAAGTCCAAAAATTCTATGATTCTTTCATAGTACACACTTTCAACAGGTTAAACTTTGCATTTCTTAAATTGCATTCAATTAATCGAAATTATAGTCATATAACTTCAGCGCTAACTCACTTTCAGTTGAGCTTATTTATTTTAAAACTAATTCATAATTATCTAAAAGAGGCGAATAGAACAGATAATATGCATCGAACAATACAAACTTTTCTTTCTAGTTAACATTGTGAAGTCATAGCAACTGAGCAGTCTAAATCAAGGAGTAAAATATTCAACTTATTTCATAAAAGTCATACTCTTGTGATATGAACAATAAATAAATTATTCGTTATTAACTTGAATATGTATAAAGATGATGAATTTCAGCCTAAAATGATCTACCTGCTTTTAATGATTATGAAATCAATATCAGTTTATAATTGTAAAAGAAAATAAGTCTTTTTAATTAATCAATCCTCTGAAAATCAGAAGCAATCCTTGAAATCAATGTTAGTTTTATACTCAAATACCGAGGTATAAATGTAAATTACAGTAATAAATCTTAAAGGAAGTTTACTGGGAACAAATATATATATATATATATAATGATGAGAACAATCAAAATTGACTTAAATACTGAATCATGTTAAGATTGTAGCCAATGCTATTTCTAGTTGATTGATCTCTTATTCAGGGTTAAAAATAAATGCAGATCTACAAATGACAATTTAACTACTCGAACCCAGGGCCTTCAGTCTCGCGCGCGAACGCTTAACCTACTGGACCACTGAGCCGGCATCCAGTAGGTTAAGTGATCGCACGCGAGATTTAAGGCCCTGGGTTTAAGTCACGCGGGCGGGATCGTGAATGCTCACTGCTGATGAGTCCCAAAACAGGACGAAACGGACGTCTAGTGCTTCCAGGTTTCCAACAGTGGTCTAACATCAATGGGTTCATGATCTCAATCAACAACTTAATAATCTGCACAATCCCCTATACTGATAAAAGTTTATAAATTACACTTATATTTTAATGTTAATAATCTACAATCACATTTCATACGTTTTTCTTAAAAATGAACATAAAATATCACAGTAATAAGGAGGATCAAATATTAAAAATAAAAACCAAGAATATTCTAAATGTTTAGATAGCTAGTCTGAAATTCCTATTGATTATTTTATTCTCATCAGTCCAATAATCCAATCAGAATAAAGGTAAATAGATGTATGAATGAGAAAAACGGTTTCTATTTTTCTTTCTATCTATTTATTTTATCTCCCTCACTCTCCTTTTAGGATAAGTAGACTAGCTCGTTTATGTAAAAAGCAAAAAAAAAGAAGAAAATATTAGTAAATGAAATATTTTCAGAATGAAGATTTATGGAGATTGTAATAAGTTTAATAGTTGAATTCATGAGTTGGCCTAAGCTAGAATATCATTGAAAAGCTGGAAGAACTGGAAGGTTGTCTCATACTAATATGGGAATACTCACGAGTGAGCATCCACGATCTTGCATACGAGACTTGAACCAAAGATCTTTGGTTTCACACGTGAACGCTAAGCTTTTAGACAATTGAGATGGCATCTAACGGTGTTACTGTCTAACTTCAGCCGATCCATGATCTCGCACAATCCTTTATTTATTGCCGGAGGTGGATAACTGTCTCTACCCGACACGAATTGAACACTATTGATCACAGGTTCTCATTAGAACTCCAAGGAATCCATCTTGAGGCTTGTTACTAGTGTGCAAAAGATTATGGGAATCTGCGGAGATTGTAGTAATTTTAATAGTTGAATTCATGATTCAATTGTGGATGCCCACTGCTAAGGCGCCCCATACTGGGACAAAACGGCCATCCACTACTTCCAGGTTTTAAATGGTGCCCCAGCTTAAATTGACTCATGAATTCAACTATTAAAATGAGATATTTATTCAGCCAGCATGAACGTAATGAAATGAAGCTACATAATAAATGAAATAATGAGAAAATTTATTTCTTCTAGTCAACATTAACTCAACGTTAGAAGTTTATGAACTTTTAATCAAAGCTGCTAAAATGGAATAGAGTTGAGTAATAATAATAATAGTCGGAAAGAATAGAAGATTAATGTTGAATATCGTATTTTGTTTTAAATATTATATAATCTTGTTAAATCCTCATTTCTGATAACAACAGAGACCAATATACAATTCACAGTGTTCAGTGTGTTGTTATACAGTACACCTAGCATACACAGTTACAATAACCAATAAAAATTAGTAAATATACAATAACTACTGGTAGTCATCTCAGTTCAGAGTTGACACTGAATTACAACCATAGCAAAGTCAATTAAAAAAAGTATTTTAATTGGTTAGGAATTTTTAGTTCATAAAAGGGCATCGATAGGAAAAATTTTGATTTAGGAAATTGTCATCAAATTTAATAGATATCTCTTTAAAAAAAATAAAATATTTAATGGCTTAAATAGCTCAAAGATATCATTTGTTCTTTTATGGAATTAATTAAAAAGGACTGAATTCTTTAAAGGCTTAATTGGCTTTTACGTGGGTAAATGAATATTACTTATTCATGTTAATCAGCATGAAATATGAGATCAAGTTCAGTATTTTGTCAAATAAATTTTATTCCCCTCAATTATCATGAAAACTGTGTCATTACATTTTTATTCGCATGAATGCTAACAAGCATGTAGATAGAATATGAAGTGAAATGAAGTGGTTTATTAATAAACTTAAGGGAAATGTCCTCGATACTGTGCATCTAAGTTCACCCAATTTAGTGTTCTGAATATCTTTACGATATGATTAATTGGACACAGTAATCTTATTTGTATATGAAATATGGTATTCAGTTTGACACAAATGAAAATTTTTATGCAAATGTCTATCTGGATATGAATAGTTAATGACTTCAAAACTTCAGTAGTGCACATACACGGTCCCGCCTCGCGAGATTTGAACTCAGGACCTATTAGTCTTGCGCGCGAGCACTTAAACATTAGACCACTGAGCTGGTCGGAATCCAACGGTGTTAATGTCTAACTTCAACCAATCCACGTAATTGAGCCACCGTTTACCATTGACCATTGAACATGTTGATCTCCACTTGTCACGGTTTCTCACTAGAACTCTAGGAAATGCCTCTTGACTGATAGGTCCTGTGTTCGAGTCTCACGGGGGCGGGATCATGGATGCGCACTGCTGAAGAGTCCCACAATGGGACGAAACGGCCGTCCAGTGCTTCCAGGTTTTCCATAGTGTTCTAGCTTCACTCGCTTCATGATTTCAATCATTGAAATTACTACAATCTCCACAAAACCCCTTCTGACATAATTAATTAATTAATTAATTAATTAATTTAATTAATTAATTAATTAAAATGCTAAGCATTTACTCATGTAGTCGAGTAAATCAAATTTCAACCTTATATATATGTTCATATATACATTTTTTAACGTTATTTCATGTACCACAAATTAGTTTTATCACATTCATTTGTTAATTTAGTCAACCATAGGCAACTGAGAGCTTGGAACTTATGTGTATCAGTTCATGTTATAGATTAACACATCGAGATGAAAAATACCAAAATATATGTCAGAGTAATAGAGGTGGTAACACTTTCAGTCGTAGTCGAAAATATTGGGTGCATACGTTATGATTCGTGAAAAATGAATCTATACACATAGTAAGGCATATAAAATAATTTTAGAACTCATGACTTAAGTAGAGACACGTAGTAGAAGCACCTGCTCCATTGAGACCTATTCTAAACAATGTCATCTAACATCGAAAACTGTTGGATACGATAATCACACAGAAACCAATTAGGTAGTCTTCACTTATCTACGTGGTTCAGTCTGAGAGTCAACGAATTCATAGATGCGATTCATTGATGCAATCACTTAGTTTGACGGCCACTGGACTTTCTTCAAACCTACTCATATACTAGTCAACATCGTGCATCGAGTTAAATCGTTACCGGTTATATGTTGTACACCTCATTCGTTCCTTCTTAGTTATATGCTTGAATATATTCGAAATTAAAAAAAACATCTTACTATTTCAAATCTTTGACCTTATTTTCTAAATTTTCTTTATAGAATAATGTTTCGAACAGCTGCTATGATCAGTCTAGCATCAGTTAGTATGAATACACCGGATACATTTAGACAAGTTCCAGTATTAATGTATATTACTTTTATCTTGGATTTGATGGTTGCATTATTATTCACAGTGGAAATGATCAGCAAAATGTATATCGAAGGCTTATTTGTTCCTGCATCAAGTCAGGTTAGTAATTTCATTATCTAAATGTGACTTTTTTCCCGAAATAAATCCCTTGATTATTTATCAATTCATCATGATATGTTCACGATGATAAATCTTTTCAAGTTTTTTGTGATATATCAAGAATTTTCCTTCGATTTCAGTTTGATAATGAAGTTAGTTGGTCAAATATCTGAAATGCTTTTCACAAAATTCGCGCTATTAGTCATCATAACAATTTTGTAATACTGTAATTTAATAACTAATGCTTGTATAATTAAACAAGAATGTTTGGTGTTCAGAATTTATCCTATTTTATTGACTAAAGATAAAAAGGAAACTTGAAACTAATTTGTGAACGGAACGGAAAATACTAAATCAGTCATTTCATAAAACTTCAACATATGGATGAGAACTAGTTCAGGATTCAAAATTTATCCAAACTCAAATTCCTCGTTAAAGAATGGATTCGTCCCCATGTAATAGTTGCGAAATTTACAGTAGACATTAAAGGGGACAGGAGGTGCAACATTATAATCCAGCCTACTTTTATCCAGTAGTATCAGCTAAGTCTAGGATGAATTTTTTGTATTAGAATTGTGACCAGCGGTAGAACCCAAGGTACTCATTTCGTTTTACTTGAGACTCATTAGTTAGATGTACCTACATTTTTGCGTTTATATTCACAACGAAATCCTACCTCAGTGTCTTTCGCTACAAATGATGGAAACTAAACATAAAACCAATTATTGAAAATCATAAAACAATACCAAAACTCAATATTTGGTCAATGAATCACTACAACAGATGTAAAGTCATGATATCTTAAGCTTTCAGATAGTGATTATGGCTACGTAATGGACTTAGATCAGAGATGTGCACATCATTACAAGAATAGTATATGGTTTTATCAACTATTATGATTTTTAGTTTGATTTGCTCACTATATTATCAATTATAGCTTATATTACGGACTGATCTTAGTTAAACAACCAGTAAGCAGCACGAAATGTTGAGAATCCATTTTGTTCTGGTATGCTGCATTGCATATTCATAGTGAACAAGAACTCAGGTGGAGAAAAACAATTTATTGTTTAATGAACAATCGCACAGTGGTCTAGTAAAATGTGAAAATCATATATAAAATATATCATTTTCACATCGTTAAATTGTGTCTCACAAGCTTCATTATTCCTTCATTACTGTTGTTATCTTGATCGCTTTAAGTTTACTTTTTTCTTCTTTTCATTTCAATTTTCTCAACCACTTGCTCTCAGACATTTCACTCTCGACTGGTGTTACATACGACTACAAACATAAATAGCACACACAAACCATATATCTACACTATATATATTTACCTATAAAATTCAACAATCTTCGCAAATGAGGAGAGGTTTTGTGGAGGTCGTAGTAATTGTAATAGTTGAGATCATGAGTTATATAAAGCTAGACCACCATGGAAAGCCTGGAAGCACTAGACGGTCGTTTCGTTCTACTGTGGGACTCCTCAGTAGTGCGCGTCCACGATCCCGCCTCGCGAGGACCTATCAGTCTCACGCGCGAACGCTTAACCATTAGACCACTGAGCTGGTCGACATCCAACAGTGTTAATGTCTAACTTCAACCAATCCAAGAGATTGCACCACCGTACACTGTAACGCCGTTGGATGCCGGATCAGTGGTCCAATGTTCAAGCGCTCGCGTGCGAGACTGATAGGTCCTCGGTTCGAATCTCACGGGGGCGGGGTCATGGATGGGCACTGCTGAGGAGTCCCACAATAGGACGAAACGGCCGTCCAGTGCTTTCAGGTTTCCATGATTTCAACTATTGACATTTTTAATATTGATTAGAAAACTTATCGGATAGAAAAAATAAACTAGTCACAATGAATAAATATTTTGATTGGTCATCTGAATTAATGTAAATAATAATTAAAAAAATATCTCATTAAGTAAATATGTAACATATTTGATTAAATATACGATTGAAAGGTCAAACTAGGAATAAATTGTTCAACAATTAACTGACCGATAAATTATTTACTTCTTTACGCCTTGATTGGTATGTAACCTCATTTATGATGCAATCTTTTCCATCCTTCTATAGACATATATTTTCCATATATAACTAATATAAATACAAATGTACAATTCAAGTAAATGATTTTGTCGAGAAAAGAAATTTTTCTTTAATGAATTCTCTTTTTCTTATTCATTGACACTATGGGTTATTTTAATTATCAATAATCATCACTTCCCTTACCTTATATTATTATTATTATTATTAATTTTATTCCTGTATAATACTGATTTCATAGTCATAGAACTGAGATAAACCAATCAATCCATAGAACATTATGAATACGCAGCATTTTTCTTTTATTGAAAACTTGTATTTCTTTAAACTTTTGATATTCATGCAAGCTATTATGATTATTATTGTCATTACTATTAAGTCTTATATTCACCATTTCAGATGACCTCTTTAAGTAGGACTTTTCTGTAAACAATTTTTATTCTTATTAAATAATGATTAGTTTATTTAATATACTTTAATTATGATTTCTTGTAGTTATAATTAAAAAGGTTATTCAACATAAAGGTAGTGGAGAAGATTTATAGCTCAGGTAGGTGATTTTGATAGAGTTTTGTTCTCTGAGCTGGATGATTTGGTCGTAGAGCTTTCATCACATGTGGAGAAATTTGAACGCTTCACTTCTATCTGAAGTTTGTGCTGATGTTGTAGTTCAGATGAACGATGAAAGCTCCACTATCAAACCATCCAACTCAGTGAACAAAACTTCATCAGTAACATAAAGGTAACTATCATTAAATCAACAGTTTTAAATATCATGAAACAGTCAGTAAATATACACCATTTGATGCCGGCTTAGTGATCCAGTAGGTTAAAAGTTTGCGCGCGAGGCTGAAGGCCCTGGGTTCGAGTCTTGTGGGGGGCGGGATCATGGATGCGCACCGCTGAGGAGCCCCACAATAGAACGAAATGGCCGTCCAGGTTTTCAATGGTGGTTTAGCATCAACCGGTTCATGATATCAATCAATATACAAGACATATATCAAAGGTAAACAATATTTCAATGTTGAGATGGTGAAGAAGATTTGTAGCTTAGATGAATGATTCTGATATTAGATGAGTATGATCCTATTTTCTAAAAGATAATAATTGTTATTAAAGTATATTCAATTTTATTTATGAATAATTGCTGTCTAAGTTTTATGGAGTGAGATTTGATGGACAATTTTTTGATTGTTGAAATGAAAGAAAAAATTTACTGATCAGTCACTGATATACAGTGATGCGATATTTAGCCAAGTGGTGGTTTCTCACAAGGTAATATTATGGACACGCGTGACTAAATGACTCCAAATCAATAACAAAACCAACAACCAAAAGAATAGCTTTCTTTTTTCTTATGAAATAACACGCTCATATAAAAATATAGCGAATACACAAATAAACATGATTAGATGGCATTGAATAATATAAACGCTTGGAGGATATCGCAGCTGCATACGTTCAGTGAGATGAATGCCTAACTAACAGAATTAATTCATACTCTATTACAGCACATCACTACAACTTTTCAATAACTGTTTGGTCACAAGGACTTTTCATTACCAGTTGACATTTGATTTGCTTCGACATGATGGAGCAGTTATCCATATACAGTGGACTCTTTTCGTGGTATTACATTCTCGGAGTTAAATGGTTTGATTGAGAAAAATTCATCGATGTTTTGGATATATATATTATGGTAGACGTTTATAGCAATGTTGAAGTATATATTATCAGAACATAATATCAGGAAAAGCGATGTTGCTTTTTGATGGTAATCAAGTGTAAATATCTCAGTTATACAGAAGGTCCGTCAAGCTCTTGAATAGCTTGGTGGTAGCTATTCAAACCGTGACTTATGAGTGATGTGAGTTTAAACCCCATTGTAAAATATCAGTTCCCTCAAGATAGCAAGCGTGCGACACTAGTAAAGTTTTTCTGCCAACTACATCCAACTATATAACCAACACTGAAAGATCGTGAAATTCGATCATGTCGAGTGCGAGTTATTTAACTACAGTCAATGGATGCTGATCATACAAGACCATTAGCGGATTAAACTTAACAGCATAAACACATATATACTGACTCAGTGGTCTACAGGTAAAACATTCGCAAATGCGAATAAAATCCCCGGGCTGTATTCTATGTGATGCAATCGTATTTATTAAAATGTGTTACTTTCTATATAACTTTCAATGAAAAATATGTTATAAACATAATACTCTATATTATCATTGTGTTCATATTGTCTTCATATCATCAATTTTCATTTCAAACAATTTACTTGAGTGTAAACAGGTATCATTTTGATCAATAATAACTTTTTCTCTTCTCATTACATTCTTGTAATTTCCATATATTGTATTCTTGATAAATCGAACTTGTTGAGAAAAAAATGTATTTCTTCATAGTATCTATATAAGAACACAAATAGTCCTTATCTACTATCTGTATTTTACTATTCACTAATAGATGTTATCAAATTAATTCTCTTTCTAACATTCTTACACTTCACTATCATCTTAATCAAACAAAAAAATTATTCATTTTAAATGTCATTAACTTATTAAGTTATATGTAGTAAGTTATATGTAGTAATTGAATAATAAGATAATCCTGTTATTAGTACAAACTATTATTTCGACCAAAATCATTAAATTGGACAATTCGACTTAAATGTTATTTGATAATCAACAAAATATCTCAGACTTTAGATCCATAATAATAATAATCCAAAAAACTTCTATTACTGATTATTAATATTAGAAGGGTTTTTGTGGATATTATAGTGATTTCAATGGTTGAGATCATGAGTCAATTGAAGATAGACCACCATGGAAAACCTGAAAGCATTGGACGGCCGTTTCGTCATACTTTGGGACTCCTCAGCAGTGCTCATCTATGATCCTGCGCCCCGCGAGATTTTAACCCAGGACTTGTC